CTGAGTAGGTCAATCTCGAGTTTGAATCTCTCCAGAGCTGTTTCGACGCCCAGGTTTCCTGGAGCGGAGAGGGCCCTGTGCATGACCTTGGCCGCACAGGCGAGCTGGTCGCAATTTGCGTGGTAGACGGCACCGTAAGCCCCACTACCCAGCTGTCTCTCCTTGTCAATGAAGACGTTCTGGTAGTCGAGGGAGCGAGAGCCCTGTGACATGGATTTAAAGGACTGATGTCGAGATTGCTGGCTGGGGGGAAAGTGGGCCACTGGAGATGGGGGACATTCGACCAAGGTTGGAGCTCAAGTGGGTGCTGTTTATAGAGCTGTTTGGACTACTCCTGTTTCTTGGAGGGAGAGGAGGACTGAGCTCTGGGTGATATACAGGTGAGGTAGATCGCACACGGCGGTGCTAGAAGGGGTGTATTCAGGGTAATCATGTCTTGGTGGAGGATCTCTGACAGGGTGAGCAGCATATGAATCGGGATGAGGAGTGTGGAAATCAGAATTGCTGGTGTTGGGATCTGGGTGAGGGGGGCTGTATGTAGGATGGTGAGAATAAGGTGTTGGGTCGCCCTGGGAGGGCTGGAGGTAAAACCTCGCCTCGGATTGAGAATATGGGTTCTCCTCCTGATAGTGATACTGCCTGGCTCCAAGAGGAGAATCATTCCTCCCCTGCTGACTAGAGGTCTCTCTGTATGTGTGATTGTAGTCGTTGTCATAGTACCGAGGTTCTTGTAGGGCCAGTGTGTCGAGGGCAGGGGACGACTGATAGTGGTGGGCACCGTTGGGGACGTTCATGTAAACTGTTCGGTTCCCAGTTGACATGTTGCTTGTTGGGAGTGCTGAATCCTACAACAGTGCAAGTATAGGTTACAATTGGCAGGTGAGCTCAGTGCCGCCTATCACTAAATTCTTCAGCAGTAGGGGCGGGTTTACGCATTGCAGCTAGCTATATATGCCTGCAGAGTCGTCCGCAATTAGTCGTCACGGAACACCCCCACCCCTCGTCTGCGACTAGCTGGCTAGCCCCGAGCTAACCTAGTCACGGGCGTCGGGTCGCTTCAATGCGTGTCAGGCAGGGATATCCCAGTGCAGAAGGGTTAGACGACGGTTAGACACGGGTAACTATAAAATCTACAACGCGGGCGCACGCCCCCCGGTAGCCAAATAAGCGATCGCAAAACACGTAGGTATGTACATACATACACACACGTTTGCAGGGCTCACCTTTTGTGCAGCTGACCCACTGGTTGATGTTCAATCTGTTGTAGCAAGCCGAGCTACATGTACATATATACAAGCACACACAATCGTGCAACCGCAGCGTTTACGTATAGACCAAGCGACGCGCCTGAAAATTCCGTACTTTGCACTTCCTGGGTTGTGTACTCGCGCATTGATCTGTACACACGTCATTATCATCTATTTCCTACCACAGCATTCCCAAAAAAATAACTATAAAATGTGGGGCAGCGAAACAGAAATAGGTAGAGGAAGACGTGTAGAAAGTCACAGATACGTAGCAACCACCTCTTTTAGTTTCAGCAGTATGTTATCAACTGCTGAATGAGTGTAACTTGTGACGAGAACACTTGACCCTCTGCCAACCATTGTCTGAACTAACTTCGATACCGTCGTCGTTTTACCTGTCAAGTCATCCAGATGGATGGCATGGGATATTATTTGCAACGCAAAAAAAACAGTGAGAATATAAGGTAGAGAGAGAAACATTACCAGTCCCTGGTCTTCCAAGAATTAAGCAATAATCTTTTGAGCTGAGGACCTGAAAAACATCAATATTGATAAAATAGTAACCTTATAAGTACACATTATATTTTTGTGTATCAAGTATATAAAACCACAGTCAAAGCATGGTAGTACAAACAGTACAAGGGGTACAAACTGAAGCCAGATATCCAGAGATTAAAGCCCCTTGGTGCTGGTCATTTTCATAATTACTCTATAAAATTGGTCTTCCAAGCCACATGAATCAACTTGGGTCACAAACAACAGAACCCTACCAGGAACGCAAAGTATTCCTCTAATACTTCATTGTGCTACTATAAAATTCCCTATGCTGCTCAGTGTTTAGTATCTGGGGTTGTGCAGGGTGTAAAGGCTTGCAAGTGCTATATATCAAAAACCTTATTCAGAGCTGATATCTGGTTTAGATTGAGACCAGAAGTGGATTCACTGTCTGGGTTCCTATTGGGATGAGGCGAAGTGCGGAAACGTGGAGGCTGGAGATCAATAATGATACTTCGCAACTCAGCGTCACTGGAGAAGAGAGACAGATGACAAATGTGACTGCTTTCTTGTCTATTATATAATATTACTCAACCGCTCAGAGTCGGAGCTGCAGAGTCGAGCGAGGTTGACGAGGCTGGCACTGCCACGGTGGGAAGGAGCCACATCCAGTCTGTACTCTCTACCATCACATGCAACTGGCCTGGGGGCAGAGAAAATTTATCAAAACTGTATGGTCAATGTTATTGGAGAACAGAGTTGCTCGTGTAACAGTGTAACAACATGCTGAGTGCAGTACTTATCTATTCCTTGGAACTCTAGGTGCGGAATTGAAGGTTAGAGCTAGGTAGCTGGGCTGTGCAAAACTTGACTTGCCAAACTGAGATAGTATGGTATTATGGTATACGTGGGTCTACATGTCAACTCTATGGTTGAAGAACAGCAGTAGTGGTACATAATACTAGAGGTATTGTTGGTTGGTGCATTTGGTCTGTTGGTGATTACTCATAACACAGTCTCATGTTTCAAGAGTACTATAATTATACCCTAAGTAAACCCCCTATTCTCTTACTCTATAAATAAATGCCACACACCGATGTAAAGATGCATACAATTACACTGCTTTGGCATATTCATAGTGTAGTAAAGGAAGTGGATGTGCAAGGGGAAGTCCTGTCTCCATGCTCATCCTCTATACTTACAGAGTGTTGTGGGGAAGGGTACTATATATAACTGGCACATTTGATAAGGTAATGCTAAAAGCACTGAAAATAGAAGACATAACAAGAAGAGGGAATATTTGAGCAGCATTACTTTAGAACTCCCGTCAGTATATACTGCAGCAGCAGAATGTAACCACCACTTTAGAAATGCTAGTTCAGTTGGCCACTACAATTAACCTCTCACATAACTGAAATTCCTCTATGTAGCTCCCACACATTACGTTTGCCAAACCACAAATCATAACAACTGTAGCTCGTACTTATCTAGGGACAGTTCCACATCACTGCCGGTTCCCACGGTGACTATCCCCATGGCAACAGCCCAGGAGGTCCCGTCTTGACGACTGACGACAACTCTCTCGTTGAGTGTGAGGGTGTGAGGGTGGGAGAGGGGGGATGGGGAGGAGTGAGGGGAACTTGGTTGTCGGGTGAATTTTTGCAAGTGGCGATTTGAGGACGATGCAGGGTCTCTGACTGGAGGATGTGCCAGCATGTTAGCCATGGCAAGACCCTCCTTTTCTCTGGAGGGAGAGTGCACATGATGGTCATCATAATGCCAAGGAGAGAGGCCTTCACTGCATAAGGTTTTCATACATCACGTACCATTACCCTAGGTGGCATTCAGTGCACCTTAGGATTTCTTTGTTTTTTACACTCATAATGAATTTTTACTTTGTTTGTTTTTGTGTTGTTTTCTTTTTTGTTATACTTGCACTCTTACTTGTAAATATTATTCTCACTTTCCAAAAAACGTGTTTACTATCTATAAGGAATTTTTCATTTACGTAGCTGCAATAGTGACAAGTATAGAAAATGACAAAGTAACAGTGTTCATGCATATGTAGCAAAACCCATCGTATAAATGGATAAAATGGTGCCACACTCAATCTATTTACAATAAGTCACGGACATTAGTTTAATCTCTGTACATTGGAACACTGGAAGTATTGAATGGGCCATTAGTATCATACCTATCATGAGCAGTATACTTCCAGAAATTCTCTCCCTTGTCTCTCCCTCTACCTTCCTCTCTCAGTACCAGACGGGTCCAATGGCTGCACACACACACACACACACACACATATTTCAACAATCAGCTGCCACAAGAGTATCCACATCCTGTGCCAAAACCACTACTTATAATTATATTCATAACGAGCTGAGCTAGACTAGACTAGTTCAGTTACAAGCCAGAGAGAAGATCAAGAGAGGAAAAGGTGAGCGAGATATACACTATAAAACATAGACACTAGCATAAGTACACATTTTATGCCGGACTCCTTGCTGGGGAGTGGTCCCGCCTATTCCAGAGTTGACCTCGGCTCGGAAGATTAAAGGGACCGAAACCCGTTGTCATACAATGACGGAAATAGGATTGCATGGACACTGGGTTGGCACCCAGGTAATGTGGACAAAAGCCCTCCCAACCCTGTTACTCTCTTACCTTCTTTCTCCTTATTTCCCTTCCTTATGTTTCTTAAAAATCACACACACACACACACACAGGTATATACAATAAAAACACAGTCCAGTAACGTTGGTGGGGGGTGAGACTTGCACAACGAGAGACATACACCAGTGAACTTTCGTGGGGGAATGAACCTTGCATGAAAATACATACGTATGTAGTTGTTGTAAGGCAAGCTAGCTGATGAGCACAGCTAACCAAAACGGCGCAGGCTCGCCCTGTCTGACGCTATAGAAAAACTGAGATAGGGCATGTTTGATCTGTCATCCATGAATAATTTATTAAGGAGTAGCAACTCGCTTTACTGTATGAGTAGTGCTACAAATTGAATGTATTCACCAATAAAAGAGTGTGATAAGGTAGAAATGTTATGGTGAATGTGTCTAGGGCTGGAATTCACTTACAATTGTAGCACACAATCAGTATGCTGTAGTGGTGATTACAGGTGCAGTGAGCTTACCTGAAGAAATCCAGGTGCCTCTGTGAGAGGTGGTGGGTGTGGCTCTGGAACAGGTCCCCCAGTCCGCTGGTGACCTCTGTCCCTTGCTCCAGTGACCTGGGAACAAGAGGTCAGCTTTGATAACTGTGGTGTACCAAAAATTCCCACGGTGCAACAAGGTATATAGCAGGGCAAAGGCAAGGCAACTACACCAGAACAGCTCTGTTCAAAAGAAAAAAGAAGAGCTGCCCGCATGCACGCCAAGCAATGGCAAAAGCAAAGCAAACAAGTCAACTACACCCAGGACAGCTCTTTTATTCCAAGGAAAAAAGAATATGTAGCTGCCCGCATGCACACCGAGAGATGCATTTTTGATACTGTGGGGTTGTGCTTCCTCATCCCTTTGGACACCATGGGTATCTCCTTAAATAAGCAGAAATTGATGTATAACATATTAACGCCTAGTATTATACCCATATATAAATTCTTATGGACTTATGGAGGATCTAGACATATATATGCCAGTGGCTGGCTAAGGGTTAAAAACACATGATAGTCAACTATAGCAGAAGAATTATTCCCGATTCCATACCTGTGAGCAAGGGAGCACTGGGGTAGGTAGGGGCAGTACTTGCAGACGTGAGTGTCTCTCAGCATCCCAGGCAGGGTTATGTTGCTGGCCAACCTCCCATGGTTCGCAGCCACACTGTTTCGAGCCATGAGAAGACCTGGTTGTTTTAGAGTGATGGTAGGGAATGAATCGGAATGGAGAGAGGAAGACAGAGGAGCTCACATGAGATCTACGTATTGAATACTACAAGATTAGCAAGCAATATCTGAGGGGCTTGCACAAACATTCAATGGCCTATACAATGCCCCACCAAGTAATAGAAAGAGGGGGTGTGGGGTGCCCTGAAAAGTTTTCACCAGCTACGTATGTCCATCCAAGAGCTGTTTAGGCAGTAAATTGCAAGTTGCTTCTTACAGATAATAATATGCCACAAAATAATATATCAGTGCATGCACCTCACCTATGCACATGCCACAATGTAAGCAGGGTGTATAGCTCCTCAGCTCACCCAAAACCAGATATGTAGATACTCCCCTTTAATTCACTTAACCTGCCACAGACACATAAACGTGTCCAGAGCCTCCATAAACCCATAAGAATATATATGGGGTCATAATACTAGGCACTAATACTTTATACATCAATTTCTGTTTATTGAAGGAGATACCCATGGCATCCAAAGGGTTAATCGCCCAAGCCAACATACTTACCTCGTATGTCGTGATCCTCAGCTGGGAGTCCCTGCATGTGCCCTGCCTTCATGTAGTAGAGAAGGCCTCCTGGGACACTGGCATCGCTGTAGCGGTCCCTCAACATCACCGAATACAGAGACAGCTGCACAGTGAGAGAGGAGGAAAATGGGGGGGAAATCTGCAGCAGGATTATCTGTATGAAAGACAAAAGAACTTTGCAACAGCAATTTATCACACTGTATGTTAGGACAGACTTATTAACCCTCGGCGCGCATAGGGTTACGGTAGTTGTCATGTGTGTCTGTCTGTCTGTCAGTCAGTCTGTTAATCAACATCTCACTTTACGGGCCATTTTGTAGCTTAGTTTAGTTACATATAGTTGCAGCAAGCTGAAAAAACTCTGTTTTAATGCTGCTGTATAGTTTGTTACCAGTGGTTTAGAATTGCACCGGTGCAAATATTCGGAGGGAAAAAAGAGAACATACGTCTATAAAGGGAGAGGACATGGACAAACTCAGCTGCATGGTCACAGCCAATAGCCATAGCATTTCAACCACCGAGATATGTAGGAGCTGATGGACTGAACGACTAGTATCATGTGTACACAAACAAACACAAGCCTTGCCTTCTTAAAGTTTGTCTAATGAGGAAGCAGTTATGGTGAACTCTAGGGAGCAAACTCAGTTGTTTTTCTATTTTGTAGGCAGTGGATTTCACTAAAGTGGAAACTTAAAGACCCAACAGTCCCCTTTCCATGAGTATGTAAGCCCATTGTTAAAACCCTTTCCAGCCACTAATATACAAGCATAAACCATGTACAAAGTATTAACACCTAGTATTAACACCTATAAAATCCTGCTGCTTATGGAGACAATGGACATATTTATGTGTCCTTGGCTGGTTAAGTGTTAATACCTGAGCTCTGTGCTCCAGTGAGCCCTGCTTCCTGTACATCTTCCCAGTCTTTATCTCAAGAGGCACTTGATGACAACACTCTTCCTCCTCCCCTCTCTTCATCTGTATACATACAACATTAAACCCTTATCTTACTCCAGGTTTTCCGAGGGAGTATAATACATCCACCACCTTTATTTGTAGAGTGGCATCAACTTTTCCTTTCAGTCCCAGTCTAAAAGTAAACACACGTGGACATGAAAAAATTTTCGGCTTCAACACGGGTTTACCTTGGAGACCACACGTTCTCCTCAATGTCAAGTACTCTGGTGACAGACACAGACGCCTTCCCATCACTATCGCATGCATTTCTAAAAACACACACACACACACGTGCACAAGTAAAAAGGTAAAAATAAAATGCAATAGTAATGTTTACGAACAAATAATTTCTGGAGTTCTCCCAGAGCTATAAAAGCAACGTGTGCATAGAGGACAAAGCTGCTGAAGTAGTTACTAACTCAAAGGTGAACACTGAAAAAGGTCATGTTGCTTCTAGAACAAGGACGCCTTGGTTGGCTGCTACATTTCATTCCACATAAAGTCCACATGAGGACAAGAATGATGATAACTGCACTCGATACAACACACAATAGCAGCCTCGACAACAGCAGGGAAATAATATACGCCAAAAATTACTACAAAACTACAATGGCAAAGTGTCCACCGCGGTATTACTTGAAAACATGGAAACACACTAAACGGGACCGTTCATACATAACTCAATACGTACTAAAATCTACATGTGTGGAGGTTTGAACAGAGAGGGCCAGCTCTGTGGAAGGTGTGTGAAGGGGTTTGCCCCACCGGTTTACTCATACTCCCTCAGATGTGTCAACTGCACTGACTATACCATCTCAACTGGCTCAAATACATTGGAGTAGCCTTTGGTCCACTCATTAGCGAAATTTAGGCAAAATAGGATAAATGCAGCAACATAGAAGATGATACCACTCCATACTCCAACTGTAGTAAAAGTATTAAGGATAGTTGGTTTGTCTCTATTTCCACTCTCGTGCCTACAACAAATGCGAAATCGTTGACACCTTTATTAAGGGGTACAGCGAATTTGGGCGAGATAGGGATAGGTGCAGCGAGATAGAAGATGTTACCATTCCATACTCCAACACTAGTCAAAGTATTAAGAATAGTTGGTTTGTCTCTTTTTCCACTCTCGTGCCTACAACAAATGCGAAATCGTTGACACCTTTATTAAGGGGTACAGCGAATTTGGGCGAGATAGGGATAGGTGCAGCGAGATAGAAGATGTTACCATTCCATACTCCAACACTAGTCAAAGTATTAAGAATAGTTGGTTTGTCTCTTTCTCCACTCTTGTGCCTACAACAAATGCGAAATCGTTGACAGCTTTATTAAGGGGGTACAGCGAAATTTGGGCGAGATAGCGAAAGGTGCAGCGAGATAGAAGATGTTACCATTCCATACTCCAACACTAGTCAAAGTATTAAGAATAGTTGGTTTGTCTCTATTTCCACTCTCGTGCCTACAACAAATGCGAAATCGTTGACACCTTTATTAAGGGGGTACAGCGAAATTTGGGCGAGATAGGGATAGGTGCAGCGAGATAGAAGATGTTACCATTCCATACTCCAACACTAGTCAAAGTATTAAGAATAGTTGGTTTGTCTCTATTTTCCACTCTCGTGCCTACAACAAATGCGAAATCGTTGACACCTTTATTAAGGGGGTACAGCGAAATTTGGGCGAGATAGGGATAGGTGCAGCGAGATAGAAGATGTTACCATTCCATACTCCAACACTAGTCAAAGTATTAAGAATAGTTGGTTTGTCTCTTTTTCCACTCTCGTGCCTACAACAAATGCGAAATCGTTGACACCTTTATTAAGGGGGTACAGCGAAATTTGGGCGAGATAGGGATAGGTGCAGCGAGATAGAAGATGTTACCATTCCATACTCCAACACTAGTCAAAGTATTAAGAATAGTTGGTTTGTCTCTTTCTCCACTCTTGTGCCTACAACAAATGCGAAACCGTTGACAGCTTTATTAAGGGGGTACAGCGAAATTTGGGCGAGATAGCGAAAGGTGCAGCGAGATAGAAGATGTTACCATTCCATACTCCAACACTAGTCAAAGTATTAAGAATAGTTGGTTTGTCTCTATTTCCACTCTCGTGCCTACAACAAATGCGAAATCGTTGACACCTTTATTAAGGGGGTACAGCGAATTTGGGCGAGATAGGGATAGGTGCAGCGAGATAGAAGATGTTACCATTCCATACTCCAACACTAGTCAAAGTATTAAGAATAGTTGGTTTGTCTCTTTTTCCACTCTCGTGCTTACAACAAATGCGAAATCGTTGACACCTTTATTAAGGGGTACAGCGAATTTGGGCGAGATAGGGATAGGTGCAGCGAGATAGAAGATGTTACCATTCCATACTCCAACACTAGTCAAAGTATTAAGAATAGTTGGTTTGTCTCTTTTTCCACTCTCGTGCCTACAACAAATGCGAAATCGTTGACACCTTTATTAAGGGGTACAGCGAATTTGGGCGAGATAGGGATAGGTGCAGCGAGATAGAAGATGTTACCATTCCATACTCCAACACTAGTCAAAGTATTAAGAATAGTTGGTTTGTCTCTATTTTCCACTCTCGTGCCTACAACAAATGCGAAATCGTTGACACCTTTATTAAGGGGGTACAGCGAAATTTGGGCGAGATAGCGAAAGGTGCAGCGAGATAGAAGATGTTACCATTCCATACTCCAACACTAGTCAAAGTATTAAGAATAGTTGGTTTGTCTCTTTTCCACTCTCGTGCCTACAACAAATGCGAAATCGTTGACACCTTTATTAAGGGGGTACAGCGAAATTTGGGCGAGATAGGGAAAGGTGCAGCGAGATAGAAGACGTTACCATTCCATACTCCAACACTAGTCAAAGTATTAAGAATAGTTGGTTTGTCTCTTTTTCCACTCTCGTGCTTACAACAAATGCGAAATCGTTGACACCTTTATTAAGGGGTACAGCGAATTTGGGCGAGATAGGGATAGGTGCAGCGAGATAGAAGATGTTACCATTCCATACTCCAACACTAGTCAAAGTATTAAGAATAGTTGGTTTGTCTCTTTCTCCACTCTTGTGCCTACAACAAATGCGAAATCGTTGACACCTTATTAAGGGGGTACAGCGAAATTTGGGCGAGATAGGGAAAGGTGCAGCGAGATAGAAGATGTTACCATTCCATACTCCAACGCTGCGCTCCGAACGCCACAACGCAAGAGCCCTCGGGCTTCTGACGTGTGCAGATGTCGCGGATTCGCTGTCTAACTATTACGTGTAAACACATGTCAGTCTGGCATGGAGAAGAAATTTGGCATTTGTACACTGGTATGCGGCTGCTATGTGAAAAAACCTTTTAAACTCTATTTCTCCTAGATCTGGTGTAGGGTGGGGCTGGAGGAACCTGTTGCACCAATCGTGGAGGGCAGGGGAGAGGGAGGAGAGGAGAGAGAGAGCCTCGTCGTCCGAAATACCCAGGGAATACCTTGAGAGAAGGTGGGAATAAATACCATAATAATGAAAAGCACTAAAGTGCAAACCCTCGGAACATGCACTGCACATACGTGTATTACTGCTACTTAGACCAAGCCCGGCCTAGCTAGGCCGGCTCCACACCCCAAACTCGCACCCCCCGGCCCCCACACCACCCACAGACAGCCCCACATGCGCAAAATAATCCGTTCACGGCCATAATAATTATACACATGCGCTAGTTAATTGCTTCTCCACCACGGACGGAGACGAGGGAAGGCCAAGTTTCGAGGTTACAGCCGTACTCGTGGCTTTTCGCTGAGCTAGGCTTCCTTCATAGCGCATCGCTAGACGCCTCCTTTATACGTTGTATGCCCTCACGGACACGGAATCCAGTCGAGGTAAGCCTGTGCTAATTACCATATTGGCTTGTTCACTTGGTTTTCACGCCATAACTTTAGAACACAGTAGTTTTACGAAAATCGCCTTTTTCAAAATGAAGCCAGTGTAGCACTGAACCCGTTACTATCGCTCTTTGGCCGATTTCTTGCGCGGGGTGGCAGAAAACATGGTAACAGACAGACGAACAGAAGGACAGACACACTTACGAACCAAGTACTATAACCCTCTAGCGCATGCGCGCCGAGGGTTAATTATTATTGAGCATCGAAGGGATTAGATTAATTAACTGCCACATTCCCATAGAGTGTGTTCTGTTGGTTTTTTTTTAAGAATTCAGTCGACTACACTGGGAATTTTGTGTTTTGAGGGCAAAGTGCAAAATGATAATGTATATTGAAGACACACGTTGATTGCACAGTCAAATCGACATTTTGTTGTCAATTTAACATTTTCCTCACAGGTTGTTCAGGGCTTCTGGAGTGGAAAGTACGACTCTCATCATGTTGCCAATGTCAGTCATGGAAACCCTCTTGTCAGACTCCGCCCACTCAACAAGTAACCCTTGTAGCACTTGATGCAGTAGGTGCCAGTCACCATTGGTACACTGTCCTTAGAAATGCCTTTGAAAATGTCAGACAAAATGGCCCTACCAAAAAGAGAGGTAACCACGTACAATCCAGTGGATAAGTCGAAAATGTATCTACCTGTAGTTGAGCAGATAGATTTTTTTTCAATATGTATGTGTGCGAAAATTGAACTTATCATAATACTTTTATGCATGTGAAGAATTGAACTACTCGCATTTGCTCGCCACAAATCTGTTGCATTCGTCCTAGTATTATTAGGGCTGGTATAATATTATACCTTCGCGGGCAAGTGACACTGGTTGCTATAGCAGTGGGGGTTATCAGCAAATCCGGCGAGACAATGACATTGCCACAACTGCTGGAGTCAATCACACAGGGGCTGCCCCCCTGCAGCTTGCCCCTCCACTCAGGTGGAGGGTTGACCTGGACAGTGTCACCAGGTGAGATTGTAATGTGGAACCTGTTGAAATAGTGCACGACATTACACACTTTTCGATACTTTTATACCAATTGCATCAAGACCTCCACAAAAAGCAAAGCTACACTGGTTTAACAGTATATTCATCCTTCTATACACAAAACTTCCATGAGCAATGGAAACTCCAAATCATTAAAAAAATTGGACAATTAGTCCATGAGATTTAATGCAAGGGGCCTCTATAATAACATAAACTTATCAAGGCTCCGAGGTAAGAAAGGCAATATTATGTTTTGATATGCACTTGTCTTAATGCATGAGTGAGGGTGGGGTATATAACAGTGCTGAGGTAGTGAAAGTTAATGCGGGATGTATATAGAGTTGAATGCTACATGGTTTTACCATTCATCTCTGAGATGGACCACAGACTCTTTCAGTGTGGACTGGTCCAGCAGTCGTAGCATGAGCTCTGGTCTGGCCCTCCCTCCTCCCCCTCCTCCATCCCACTCCTGCACCACTACCTCCAGAACGAGATGCCGACTCAGATCATGTGATCCCCTGGTGATGTCACTACTGAGACCCAACGAACAGTCAGAGTTGGTGACTTCATTGGTGTCGTTGGGGTTACGTAATGAGTTGTTGCTCGCTTGTCGAAGGAGTTCATCAAACGAATCGTGAGATTGGTCGAAAAGATCATGTGACTTAGTAGTGACATCATGTGGTTTTGAGGGTACGTCACATGACGATTGGTCTAGTACGTCATCAAAGAGTGAAAAGCTAAAATCAGTTGGTTGCAAATCCGCGCTCTCCTTCGTTGCATCACATGACTTTGCAACACATGTCTCGTTGATTTCACTATCACTTACTACTGCTCCACTATTGTCACAAACAGATGCCCCTTCCAAATCTGCCAGTGAAAGCCTGCACAAATAAAAATATATATAACTGCACCATGTATATACAACTAATAGCCAAGAACTGACCTTCGACAGGGAGTTGTTTTAACAGTGGAATATTGCTGCAAGAGATTCCTATCGCCAGGAGAAAACAGTGACGGAGATGTGAGGGTGGGAATACGGGAGGATGTGGAGATGTGAGAGTGTGAGGGCGTGGCAAAGAGGGGAGGTGTAGATGATAGCGTGTTCTCGTCCACCTTCATGACCTGTTTGACTGGTTTCTCCTGACGGGGTTTGGATGGCGACATCACAAACCTACGTTTTCGAATCTTGAGACTCAACCCCGTCTTCCGCACAGACGGCCCTGGCTCATTCGCCAAACTTGGTGCAGGTGAGTGAGATACAACGACTGGAGAAGAGGCTGACTGAGGATTGAGTTTTGCAAACGGGTTGAGGCCCGTTTTGAATTTAACCAACGAGGGCTCAACCAATACCTCGGACAATGGGAGTCTGGCAGACGGTTTCATTGTAAAGACTTCTATTTGAGATCTTGGAGGACTTTGTTCCTCTGCACTACATTCAGTTGGTTCTTCTTTGCTGCATTTCTCATCACATTCAGTTTCAAGTGGGGTGAGATTTTGAGACTCCTCACTGAGTACCGTGGTACACTTTGTTGTATCTCTCTTCAGATTTTGAGGTGAATCCTCATCATTTGGGTCAATATCTGACTTTAGCTCCCTGAACACACTGTGCTTCAGGTCTCCATGTACACCAGTACAATGTAGGGGAGCATTCTCAGCCTCACTTATGGTTTCCAATGGAACATTGCTGATGGTGGGTAGTTCTGAGTTAGATGATGGGTTGTCCCTGTCATTGAGGAAAATTTGGTCCAGGGGGAGAGGTAGCCTAGCTGAAGACTGACTCGTTGAAGCTTTTGATTTCTGCTTGGTCTGGACAGGGGCATTCTGCATAATCAATGTGTAGTACATGTAGGTACACATACCTGGATAAAGTGACTCAGTGTTGGCTGACTTGGAAGAGACTGGAATGAGAAATTAAACGGAGCTAGCATGTGCTCTGTTTTCAGTAACAGACTCACCTTTCCCCCAAAGTAAGAATTGATGGAAGTTTGCCATGATCCCGCTGACTGTGGGACAGACGTTCATTATGCCATGGAAAGAGGGCGGAGAAATCGTTGACCTCACCTGTTTATGTCTGACGCTTTTGCGCTTCCTAACTCCCTTGCCTGCTAGGGAGAGGGACTTGCGACTCATTCCAGATCAAGATCGAGAAGAGCAGGGACTCAAAATCCCGCCTAAGTTTTAGAGTAAGCGCGCAGGGTCGCGTATCAATAAGCGGCGCGCGCGAGAAAGCCAATTTCTATGTAGTTACCGTATGCAGGAAGTAAGGAAGCACAGAGAGGAAAAACAAAGTATCTATTGTGTCGATCAGTGAATTTTATCTAGCTACATTGTAGCTAGTCCAAATTCCGTTACAAAACTTTATAACTAGGGGGGATTGCACCATACATGCACACTTAGATGACATACCTATCATAAATTAAATGCCAGATGGTAGATGTATAACCATGCCAGATGGTACGCTGAAGCCTGAGCGATAGAGTCAAAGATGGTAGGAACTGGAGCATAAGTGATAGTTAAACGCTGGAACCTATTTCAAGATGGTTATAGCTAGAGGCTAAACCATGGTATAAGTATAGACCCCAAGCATAAAAATGCCAGATGTTAAAGGCAGGAACCTGGTGGAGGCAGAATTCTGGTGCCAGTTAGTAGAGGGTGGTATCTAGATAATAAGGCTGGAATGCAAACTTTTAGAGAGGCCAGATGTTAGATGTTGGTATAGAGACAGAGAGTAAAGATAAAGTGCCAGATGTGAGGCAGGACCTGGTGGAGGCAGAATTCTGGTGCCAGTTAGTAGAGGGTGGTACTAGATAATAGAGCCTTTAATGCGAGAGGCCAGATGTTAGATGTTGGTATAGAGACTGGAAGTAAAGAGATAAAGTGCCAGATGTTAAAGTCTGGAGGCTGAACCTAGATACCTAGAATGCTATATAGTGCCAGTTGGTATAGAGGGGGGTTAGAGGTCTAGATAGCTAATAGAGGCTGGAATCCAGAGGTTTAACTCAAACAATAAGCTATTGTTATCAGCAATCAGGTGGACAATGCACAATTGAATTCCTCAGCAGCAGTACAAAAGAGTGTACATTTCTGGTAGGATGCAGTCAGTCTGTTTCTTGGACTATTGTTAGCACTAGAGGCTCAACAACTATTTTGGTTAGGATGGGAAGTGCTTCCCTGCTGGTTTTTTGTCTAGTTTTTACACTGTTGAATTTGAAGCTTGGGCAGACCCAAACTGATGGTAAGTTTGGTAAAAATATAATATTATAGCTAGTTAAAATGTAGTGACCAGGACTAGCTAATTGCTAAAAACAGTCGCTTATGCAACTGGTATATCGTAGGCATAAGTTTAAGTAATGTATCAGAAAGTTATATAGCTCTTTGCAAAAACGCTTGTCTGACCCTAACTCTAAGAGCTTGGAAAGTGAAGTGAGAGTACCTAGTTGTTTGAATGTGGGAATTTTCTTCAGTCTGGCCCATTCGTTTCGTATTGAATGTCTCATTATATAGTATTTTAACACACACTTTTAGCTGACAGGATCGCTGCAGTAGTAAATGATGCTCTGAGGTCTTTTTCAGTGAGGTTAAGGAAGACATTAACTGCATAAAAAGTGATTTGGCAAACCTCACAGTGGTGGTTAATGAAATTGTTCAAGATTTAGAAGAACATAAAAATAACCCCGGATCTGTAGTTCATTCTTCTTTACCGCAGTATAAAGTTGATTGCTGGTCAGAGGATGTTACTGTACTTGGTCAAAAATTTGATGTGCTTCACTTTAAAATGAACGTAAACAACATGAGAATAAACAGGGCATTTTCTTCCCTTGATTCCAAGGTGGTTTCAATGAACATGTCTCTAGAAAGTGATTTTGACTTTATCAAAAGAGAATTGCTCCGTGTTAATGAAACTGTATCTGTTAGTAATGATGTGGTTAGAGAAAATCTCAATGATGTGAAGGCTGAGTTAAGGAATGTCAGCAAAACAACACATGCTATGTCTAACAAAGTAAATAAGAATGCACCAACGAAGACTCAGCATCCAAATAACGGTTGGAGGCAGGTAGTTAACTTTGATATGACAGACCCTAACTCTAACTGTCCCCCTGGATGGCAACTCACAGGTTATTCTAAGAGGTCTTGTGGCAGAGTTAACACAAGTCGCATGTCCTGTGATTCAGTCTTCTTTCCAGTCAGCGGTGGTCCATACAATCATGTGTGGGGCAGGATCAAAGCCTATGCATGGGGACGACCAATGGCTTTCTTGTGACTGGACGAGAACACAATCGATAGTGTCTATTTCAGTGGTTTGAGCTGTACTGCATGGAAATCCCCGACAACATCTGGACATTTGCAGCTGGGGGCCTAGAGAACATTACATACCATTACCTCAGTCTCCATGTGGACATTGGAAAATAGACACAACACCAGCACCACTATTTGTTGAGAGGATTACTTCTGTGAGTCAGGATATATATATGCCGGGATTTTGGAATAGCACTGAGTACCGTAGTTTCACTCTAATGACCCTCTTGGGATGGGAAGGACTGCCACTCTACAAGTACATGTTGTGCTCTCACAATCCTCCCGACTTCACTAGACATCTCAGCAAGACAAGTACCGATGACCTGGAACTCAGACTTTGCAATGTTCATTCTAGGTACTATAGCAATATAGCAGTTGAATCAGTTGAGTTACACGTGAAGCTTGACTATATTCAAACAAAATTGCACGAAATTGACGACGAAATGAAAAGTAAGTTTTGCACATCAAACAAACAACATCAAACAATCTTCACGTACACCAATGTGGGGGTACAGGGGGTGGAGACGTGCAGTCTACCTTGATATGACAGACCCCAGCACTGACTGTCCGCCTGGTATGACACTCACTGGACTTTCAAAAGAACATGCACTAGGTCAGAAGCATTGAATGGACTTGCGACTCAGCTTCTTCCCTGTCAGTGGAGGCCAATACAATCAGGTGTGTGGTAGAATAAGAGCTACCAATTCGGTGTTCCAAGAGCCTTTCAGGGATACAGATATGGACTACTGGACATTGATAATGCCTACTTGATGTGTGTAGCGTGTGATGCATGGTAGTCCTCGCGAGCATATATGGACATTTACAGCTGGATCATGGGGAAATGCATGGAGAATTGAGCCAGAATCACGTTGGTACAACTGTCCTGTGACAATACCTACAGTAGTATCCCACTATTTGTCGAACATGATTATTCTGTGAGTGGCTATGTCGACCTGGGTACAGGATCATTACTGGAGCAGAAACTCCACATAAATGACACACTATGGGATGGGAAAGACTGTCTGTCCACCAGTACATGTTGCACTCTAAAAATCCTTCATTTTTCACCAAAACTTAAGTCAAACACTTTGATGACTTGAGCTAAGGATGTGTGACTTTGAGTATGGATAATATAGCTATAGAGCTAGTTGAGATGTATGTCAAACTTCAACCCGATCTTCATCAACCGTTAGTAAAAATTCCTTCTAACCAAGCCTTCTATGACCAATCTCTTCATGTGCACACAGGTGGAGACTCTGGAGGATGGAGACGTGCAGTCTACTTGAACTTCACAGACCCAAATACAGCCTGCCCTTCTGGCTGGACATTGACACAGCACTCAGTGAGAACTTGCCGCGGACTTTCAGGGAGGCAAGGGAGTTGTGACTCGGCCTCGTTTCCTGTGAGAGGAGGACCATACAATCATGTGTGTGGCAGGATCAGAGCATACCAGTGGAAAATTGCCACTGGATTTTCCCTCTCCTACTCAATGAGCACAGTTGATGATCCTTATTTCGATGGTGTGGCTGTGTTCCATGGCAGACAACCTCGGCATCACATTTGGACTATTGCTGCTGGGTCGCGGGAAAATAGTAGTCGTAGCGATAGCAGTAATAGCTGCCCATGTGATCTGCATGGCTTCACCAAACTACCCCCGCCGTTTGTCGGAGAAGACTACTTTTGTGAATCTGGCTATGTGTACCCTGGGTATTATGATGGGAAAAACGAACAAAGGCTACACGTCAATGACACTCTGTGGGATGGAGAAGATTGTCATCATACAAGCACCTGCTGTTCCCATCACAATCCTCCATATTTCACCAAAACCCTCGACCACATAACCAATGATGACATTGAACTGAGGGCATGCACCTATGGCTCCCCCGTTGCTGTTGAACTGGTGGAGTTGTATGTAAAATGACGTACGCCAGTGTACTGAGTAGGATGTACAATGAATAATTATAGCTTATGACATGTTGTACATTGTACATGGATATTAATTGACTTCTATATAACACTCAAAGTCTAAATTTCCATGCTCATAACTACACTTAATGACATGAAGAATTATAAGATGTGCTAAATAGCACTTAATAGACTGTTATTGTAGTAAACCAGTTTGTCGTTTACTACGTTCAACATCAATGTTCCATTAAGTGTCTTAGCTACAACATAATTTTTTTTGTTGCTGTGTGCTGGGAAACACAAAATTGCACACAATTTCCCTCTAGAGTAAAAGGCACTGTGGGGTTCACCCATTGATTGCTTATGCAAACCTGCGGTTGTTTACATAGTATATACAACGCCTGAGAATGCATTGAGTTTGTTCATGCACACGGTATGTAAAGAAATGCCTGGTGGCCCATATCTTGGTGTGACTGCTTACGAGATTAGGAATGGGTAACGAAACTAGTGTTTGAAAACCATGAGAGTTGCCTAGAAACTGCAACTTTCATGTCTTATTGCGTTTTATAAAAGGGCAAGTAGCTACAAGGCTGAGATAAATCGTCACTGTGAAAGAGACGTAAAGATGTTTCCCTTTTTATTGATGATTGAAGGATGCCTAATTCATATTACTGGCGCTGTTAATTAAGATGAGAATCACTGGCTATTAAAAATCAAAACTGTATGCATTATCTCATTGAGCAAAATAAAATTCATGTTGACTTCAGAATAGATGAAACTGGCTAGCAGAGAGATAGGCTCTTATATAAAGCCACCATTTTGTGATCATTGCTCAGTGCTTACCAGTTTCTATCATCAGCTTCTCTAGAGGTAGTCGCTTCACGACTGCAAGATTTTCTTCTGTTTTCAGTGAACTGTGACGGCAAAACTTTACTATGTCCTCATTGGTACAGTGAGAATACCAAAGGCACTTACAAGAAAGCAAATGCCTTATACGTGGAGTGGAAGATATGGAAAACACGCCAGGGCAGACGTGCAACACCTCTAGTTGATTTTGGAATGACTATATAGCAATGGCTCTTTCTCGCGTTAA